TGTGATTGGGGATGTCTTGTGCTACTGCTGTCAAGCCCCTCTTGACGGTTCATTAGATGTACGAAGTAGATGCCATGTATCTCTGGCACGTATACACTGTACGAGACGTGGTATGCGTGGTATCCGTCGAGCTTGGTACGCAGCAGCCGTTGGCTGTCCTTTGTCACTGTGTACATCCATGGATACTAAAGTCGCACCACGCACGAAAAGTTGTGACTCCACAATCGGAGAGGAGGTTGGGACCTTGTCATAAATGACTGGTAACATGCAGCCCACCTTTGCCATCTCCTAATGCGTGAGCCCAGGCCAGGGTTCTGGAGCCGAATCGAGGATGTATTTTCTCACATCTCTGTGCCTCTCCAGTGTGGACTTGGATGTATCGGGTGGTGGTGTGGGTGTGCTAGGTATGAGTGGTAGGCCCCGTGGTCCCGTCAGAACGATATCTGGAGATCTGAGAGAAGCAGCACGGTTCGCTGTGATCGACCGACCATGCCTGGCTATTCCCGGAGACCGTGAAGATAGTCGAGGGGCCTTGGGGGCCTAGGCTGGCTGCGGAAGCTTGCGATTCTGGGCCTTTTGTTTGACTTTTTCCCAGCCTGGCCTGACGAACGTGTTTATGTGTCAGCGTCGGCCTGATAAAGGTCCATTGATGAGTGGAAACGCCACTTGCAGCTTGGGATAGGATGATCTGGGGAGAGGGGCTCCCATGTAAGTTTGACTGCTGGCTTGACCAAACACAACCTCATAGCCTTTGATAGATTCTGCGGTTTGGCGGCGAGGCGAGCAAAGTATTGGAGCACCCGGCGCGGTTCCGCTGCACTCAGGTCATTTGAACGACTGGAAACCGTCCTCGTCTTGATCTTGTTCGACTGTGCGTCTGAACTGATTAGGCTCTGACGATTGTGCCGGGCCATACGATAGATGTCAGAAGGGGTTGATGGGTAAGTGACAGGCAACGTTGTTGGGTCATTGGGTAAATGACGATCGGAATACAATTAGATGGCCAAGGAAGGTTTCCGTAATCCATCGCCGCCGCCGTCGCACCAAGAGGGGACGAGGGGACCCAAGAAGTGGTCGACTGCGAGTCTGTGAATGAGACAATGAGGCTGCGCAAAGCATCGGACGCACTGGCTGGCGTGATGGTCTTGTCAACCTAGCCAGTTGACAGGGAAGGGTTCAGTGCAGGATTCCTTCCATACCACTCTATCTGCAGCTGATGGGGGCTTCTAGCGTGGAGGTAGCTTAGCTTCCTCTGGTGATCGTAACATGTTGTCTCCAGTCGGAACTCTTGTCTTGTCTTGTCATACGGTAGCATGCCTTGGGGATACCTCAGTCCTCAGGTCGCTGGCGGTGGATCGGAGCGGAGAATGGAAGCAAAAGAAACAAGACTTTGACTGTGCTTCACAGCGGCCGCCGTACGAGGTCCGTGAGCGGGAGACAGTGCAGTGACACCTCACTTTGTTTGTCCGATTCGAGTCGAGTCAATTAGGCTGGATAAGTTGTACCTGTGCGTTGGTCCGTTGGATTGGATTGTGGGTTCGAGGTCGAGCTTGTCGACTGTTGTTGGTTGTCTGAGATGACGGGGTTTCTGTCAACGGCTTGGCGTGACGCGATTTTCACTTTCTGCTAACGAGCGGATGCAGTATTTCTGCACCGACAAGACGATAGTTGCAACTTGCGTTGGGGCAGAGGGTTTACCAACGGTCCGATCCGGAAATGCCAGATTGGTAGATTGGTATACAAAGTATCCGTATGGTGGCGGTCGAGTTCATCAAAGCCGCCCAAGCGCAGGTGGTAAAGACTGGAGACTCAAGAACTAGAGAGTCAGAGTCAGACAAGACAGGCCAGAGTGATGTGCATTCCGGGGATCCATCCAGGGCATGTTTGCTTTTTCCGCCAGCCATGCGCTCGAAACAGACACTCAATGGCGCCAGCTTTGTCTTGTTTTATCTTGTCTTGGTTATTGCTCTTCCTTTGGGGCCGCGCCGCTCACCTGTTTCCTGCATCTTAGTCACCAACAAGCAGAAAAACCCACCATGCTGTTTGGATGTCTTGCCGGCACATGTTTCCTCAAGCAGGAGAAATGCGGGACACTATGCCAATGTCTCAGCATATTGTCTCGGCTTCACGCCGTCGTCTCGTGGGAAGTCCATCGAGGAGGCAAGGGGACGCTGAATTGCCTTCCTTCAGTGGATATCGACAGGATGTACGTCTGCGCCTGTGTTATGATTTTCAGAGGTGCTTTGGGTTAATAGTAAGGCAAACTTGAGCTTGAAGTCTAACAGACTATGAGGAAGAGGCTGAGGTGTTCGACAAAAGCGCACCAGCAAGTTCCTGACTCTGCCAAAATGCACTACGGTAGTGAGGTACTTGAGTACTGATTAGATGGGTAAGGTACCTCGCGGGCGGTACCTGACGAGAGACAATTGTGCCGCAAGAATAGAGTACGTATTTGCCAAGACAGCACCGGCGTCCGTTCCGGAAGTAGCCGTCCAGACCTGAATGGCTGCGAATTTTGAATGTGCAGTGAAACCGTCCAAAGACGGCAGCGCTAGCTGTAGGTAGATATGGATGGGGCACTTTGTGCGGTACTTTGCACTTTGTACCTTGTACTGTGTGGGTTTTCGTGGTTTCTGCCGTCGAAACTCAACTCTGCCGACTCCTCCGCTCCATCTCAATCAGATTCCAGAACCCAGAGCCCAGAGTCCGATATGATGAATGCGGACAGAGGCGACGGCATCCTACCACCATTGTGCTGGTCTTCCTGCTCGATGTCGTCTTCCAGAGTCGATCCCGTTACCATCCAGCAGTGCAAGCGTCCGCCCGTCAGCAGCCCTCGTCCCTAGATTCGGATCCAGCTGAAGGGCACACAACAATGAGCCAAATCATGGGGCCAGATGCGAAAGGCCAACCAGCAGCATGGCAGAAAGCCAGTCAGTGATGCCCAGTTGCTAGTGGCAGGTCGCCGATCTAGCTGGCCCGACTCCCCGATACTCGATGCTGTATCACCAAGATCCCGGGCGTATCCTGGACGGCGGACGAGCCAAGCCAGCTTCACATCCCCTCACTGTCACGCTTTCTGCGACAGCCACCGTTGGCGGGGTCCTCCGAGTCCCGAGGCTCTTCTCCACCACCAACAACGGGGAATCTGGCTCCAGCACTCTACGCAGTCTCGCCCATGGGTACGCACTACGAAGTACTTGAGAGTCGGATGCATGGTGGTGGTAGGCACGGTACGGTTGTACCAAGGTGGACGGAATATTGCCCAGGGGAAGGACAGGGCCCCAATAACAGGTTGACAATACCATGGTGTGCAACCAAAAGCGCCTCTCCTTGGTTTGGGTTCTCAGGAGAGTTACATTCCCCCCTGGTCACTGACCTCTGCCATAGAGACTGAGTGTGCCGCCAGCTCAGATCAGCAACGTCTGCAGCTCCAGCTTGTTGTCAAAGCGGGCTCCCCTGTTTCCTTTCCTTTGACGGACGCAATTCTGCTTTCCGACCGAGTTCTGCTCTCTGGCTTCTGCCCTGCCAGCCCGTTAGTTCTGAGCTAACTTCTCCGTACAAAGCAAAGTATCCATACTGCTACCGTATGCATAGCAGTCCGTTTGTATCCCCTGCTTGCTCGTCCTTTGCCCCCACCCACAATGAAAAACCCCGTCACCATCATATCCCCCCCCCCCCCTCCTACCCCTCCCCATGCAACGCATCGCCCTGCTACAGGCTAGCTACATGCGCCATAACGAGAGGCAAGGTACCTCAATCCAAAGTCGGGGGAGGAGGGAGAAAATGTACAGGATGGGAGGCATGTCTTCTGTAGTTCACTGCAGACTCTCTCTATGACCAGCTAGCCAGCGCTCGTGAGAGAAAGGTACGTCTGTGATACCTACAGCATGGAAGTTCTCGGTGGAGACTACAGTATGCAGTATGTATTTCCCGTTTCCTTGGCCTAGTGTGTATCTGCACTCAAGAGGAGAATCTCGCGACAAGGGAGTGCTATTTGCCTGACACGACTTCACAGAGGACTGACAGACTGCTAAATTAATAGAGACTGGCAGAGGCCCCTCCCCTTTTTTTTTAACGGCATTTCCCGTCTCTTCCGCGTGTCTCAATCTCTCTGCCGATGCGAATATTTAGCCACATGTGCATGCCTCCACTAGCACGTTAGTAACGCGGAACATTCAACAATAGACCCGACTTATTATAACTGCATCTCCTACCCGCCCTACCTTACCTCACCCAACCTTAGCTTGTCCGTTGTTACCTTGTCCCAAAGCCAGAGGTATCCGTACTCAAGGTCTTGACCCGAAATATTCGTATACCAAGAGTCAAGACGCCAATTCTGGCCCCCAACACACGGCACTCTTTCTTGTACTCTCTCTTCCCTAGCCGAACCCTACGCACACGGCCTCATTGGCGCATCCTGCAACATCAATCCCATCTTGACACTCTTCACTTGCCGTGGCCGGACCAGGCATATCCCAGATCGTCCTAACCACGGCCACCCCCGGACGTAGCAGGGAAACAGGCCCAGTGAGACTCGCAACTGCGCCGGTTCTCAAACACCACCCGCGTGGCTTGGAAGCCTTCCATCCATGCGCTCGCCTGCCATTCTTCTACCACGTCGTCTACCGCTCTCACTCCCCTCACAACAACCTGCTTCCACTCACGCCTCGAGCCACGCATAGAACCTGTCTTGCTTGCTCAGCTATCTTACTCGGTACTCCTCCCGCTCAATACGAATACTTTACAACCCAATTGGCATCACTAGCAACGCGAGACCGATTTGACATTTTCAACTGTCCGTCTCCCATCCATACCTTCGGTTCTCCTTTGGTCCCGTCATTGGCCTCTCGCCGTCTCTTGCCACATAGTACGCCCTTCTATCATCTCAACACGAACACGCGCTCCCGGACCCGGCTTGTCCCCGGCACTTGGTTCCAAACGCCCACATCAAGTCGCCCACCGGCTGATTGTCCCTTTCAGCTTAGATAGTCAACACCCTCCGCATACCAAAAGACACCGCCTCGCCTGTCTGTGAGTTTCATGTCGCAGTAATCTTTGGCCCAGACATCAACAGTCGATCTTTCACGCTCACCCTGATCGGCCGTCAGCGTGATCATCATACGCTGAATCACCCTTGAATAATCCTACGATCAAAGTGACCGGACGAACGTTGCGGTTACCGTAACACGAATCATCTCTGAGAAGCGGCGTCTTATAGTCACTGGCTAGTCTTCCTACCTACTCAACGCTGCCACAAAGTTGCAAACACCAAAACGACTATCGCATTACAGTACCTCGGAACAAAACGTCGTCATGGTCTACTGCGGGAAGCCCTCTAGGGGCTGTCAGATGTGTCGTACTCGAAGGATAAAGGTAAGACTTGAGATGGAGAGGCATTCGGGAGAGCCATATTGAAAAACAGGTGCAAGTGTGTACTGACGGTGTCTTTTCCCGCTACAGTGCGACGAGACGAAGCCAACATGTAACCAATGCGCCAAGTCACGCCGCCAATGTCCCGGCTACAAGGACGAGTTCGATCTTGTCTTTCGGAATGAGACCAAAGCAACAGAGAGAAGAGCGCAGAAGGCGAACCGAAAGGCCCTCGCCCAGAAAGAAAAGGATCTCGACTCGCCGACATCAGGCTCAGACAAGAGCATCTCACCTACGTTCAAGAAGGAGATTGATTCGCCTGCAGCCGTCAGCCCTGGCCTGAACGTCCCAGTCGAACAAATGGCTAGCTGCCACTTCGTCGCCAACTACGTCTTGCTACCAAGGCAGGGCAGCACACGTGGGTTCATGGAGTACCTTTTGCCGCTGTTGAAGGTCGATCAAGGGAACCACCACCTGCAACATGCGTTCAACGCATGTGCGCTGGCATCACTAGGAAACCGGCCGAACGCTGCGGCGACACAACTGAGCGAGAAAGCACTTGGTCACTACACCAAAGCACTGGCAGAGACACACATCGCCCTGAAAGATCCCGACCAGTCAAAATCAGACGCCACACTCGCTTCCGTTCTTATGCTGGGTCTGTTCGAAAACATGACTGCTCGGCAGATGGGAATGTTTGCCTGGGGCTCACACATTGAAGGTGCCATTCAACTAGTAAAGGCTCGCGGTCGCAAGCAACTCAGAACCAAGACGGGCCTCCTGCTCTTCATCGCCGTCCGGACACAGATGATCATCCACACTCTCAGCACGGGTACAGCACCAATCATGGGTGTGGAATGGTGGCTAAGCGATGCCGTCAAGGACGAGTCAGCCGCCCAGTGTCAGAGACTTAACATCAAGACGGCTGAGCTGCGCGCCGAGGTCACAAGATTGATGTCAACGGTGGCCCGAAGCCCGGAGAATATTGACATTATGCTCGACATGATACGCCGGGCTCAGACTGTCGACCAAGAACTCATGAGCTGGATGAGGAACACGCCAGATTACTTCCAGTACACGACGGTAGCATGGGAGGACAACGTCCCCAACGGAGACTACGCAAAGGCGGAAGTGTTCCCTGGTCGTGTGGACGTCTATCAAGACTTCTGGATCGCGAGTGTTTGGAACATGGCAAGAGTGTCCCGCCTCATTCTCGCGTCCGTCATTGTGCGCTGTGCCGCTTGGGTCTGCTCACCAGTGGACTACCGCACAACGCCCGAATACGCCACGGCGGCCCGTACGTGTGTAGACACCATCAGCGACATTATCGCCTCAGTACCGTACCACCTCGGATGGCATCTCAAGAGGCCCGAATTGCTCGAACGGGCAAACATCTCAGGCTTTGCCTGTGGTCTAGAGGAATCACAAAAGGGTCTTCCCGGATACTTCCTCACCTGGCCTCTGGCGTGCTTGCACGGGCAGGACTACACGACAGACGCCCAACGAGCCTGGGTTGTTGGACGGTTGAAGTTCATCGGTGATGAGCTCGGTGTTAAGTACGCCCATATTCTGTCGCAGGTAAGCCAGCCCCATCCCTCTTTCATATTCAAGCCAAAGTTCCCCGATTTCATCGATACTGACGTAACCCCATAGATGCAAGTCCGTATTCCCTCCATGCTCATCAGGAGAGACGGCCTCATGGCCCAGCCGTATCCGCAGGCCCACAACTTTGAGAAGCTGCTCTCTGCGCGCTTCGCGCCGCCGTCCGCGGGCTACTCCATGAACCCTCTGCAGCAACGCGAGGCCATGCAAAAGGAGTTTGTCGAAAAGCACAAGGCCGAGCTGCTCGCCAAGGCCACGGGCACCGCGGGCCAGGCCGGCCAGTGGGTAGCGCAAAACTGGTTGACGGTGCGTCCGGGCGCTCAGTGAGTTTCTTTTGAATTCCTGGAGTGCAAACGAGGTTGGACGAGTTACGCCTTTATCTATGACCATTATCTCCCTGGCATTTCCTACCTATGGATATACCCACGCACACACCCAAATGTGCTCTTTATCTGCAACGTACTAGGAGAGATTCGTCTGGGATATGCGGATCGGGAAAAATGTGGGATTCGATGTTGCGCATCATTTTGGTAGTGACGAGGGAGAAGCACAAAAATGGGTTCGCAGGTCGCTCAGCTTCGTAACCGTGTAAAAGGCAGCAGAGCGTGGGTCTCGGCCTGGAGAAGGGGATCTTGATACCACGGCGTTTTCCCAGGAGGAGGACATTTGTTGTTGTTTCCGTTGGCTTTAGCTTCAAGGTTGATATCTTATGCATCATGCAGTACTACGTATACACACACATTCCTTATCAAAAATTGCATCCAAATCGATTTGTCCATCGCATTGTCTTGTCATGTATCTCACGCTTAGAATGAGTAGCTTACTTGATGAAAGGTAGCCTCCTCTGTTCCTCGTGTTGCGCATCTATGCTAGATTGCAAATTAGACCTTGGAAATCTCGCATTCAACGCTCGAATACTTCAGAATAAGAAGCGCTCTTGCCGTGACTAGCTGCAGGGCGCGTGTACTCCAGGCGCGCCGAGCCAGACACTACTGCATCGAACAAGTCCCGTTGAGATGTCATCCCAACCTTTGTCCGCTCGGCGCTCAGGCGGCGCCCGCTGCCCATTTCCCCTCTAAGCCATGACTGTACTGACCATCCCAGGCCCTGTTTATGGGTATCTCAACAACCGCTGGCCCAGCTGCCCGCTCCAAGCGTACCGATTTGCCTGTTTTTTTTTCTTTCGCATCGGTTTCCTGCGTCCAACTGTCCCGTCCCGCTTAGAAATTGCTCAAAACATGTCTGGTGATGCACGCCCATCATTTGGTCTTCTTGATCTGACCGACATTATTCCCGCTCAAATTCCAAGCCTTGACGACCCAACTCTGGGTTTTGTCGACGTAGTTCTCGTTCGAGGTGTGCTTGACGCCGACGCGGACGCCGTCCTTTGTGAAGACGACGTTCTTCTTGCCCATGCGCTCCGAGGCGGACTCTTGGATTTTGTTGACGGAGAGGTATACCTGCCAAAGCACCCAGGCCACGCCGGCGAGGAAGAGGAGGGTAATAATGAGGGGGATAATTTGCCTATGGGTTTGCGCGCAAAGAGTCAGCGGGGTTTCTGTCCATATTTACTTCAAGAGCTAGAGTACAGGTCTTTTCGTTCTTGCAATAGTCGCGTGAGGTAGAATATAAGGTTGAGGCGCAAAAGCGACCAGCCTCGAATGCCAAGAAGTACACCCCTGGGTGCTGTCCGGGGAAGGAATCTTACTAACCTCAAGGCCGAAGGAGGCGGCGGTTGCGCTTTCTTGCCCCACGCCATTGTTGCGGTTATACTCGAGATTTGTGTTGAAGAGATCTGGGGAAGAACTTGGTCCTATCACTTCTTGAGAGAAAGGGAACGGTATGAAACGAAGGCGAGAAAAAGGTTGTGCTGTCAGAAGGCAAAAAAGTGCAGAAAATGTGCAAGAGTGAGCGAGTCGCCGTCCGACTAAGGGCTTCTTAAACAGGTAGGGCGATGTCGATCTCGAAGGGGTAGCTTGTGGGTTTGCGTGAGGATAAAGAGATGGCGGTCTTGGTAGGATGGTGAAGAGGCTAGAGACTACGCAAAGGCAGGTTGAATAGAAGAAATGGAGAGGGAAGAAAGAGAAGAACAGGTGCCGGGCGTTGGACGAAGAGGGAGCCGGGCTGCAGATCGAGGAGGGAGGAGGGAGGGGTGGGAGCTAAAGCAAGGTAAGGTAAGGAAGGTAGCTCTGGTGCTCAGTCAGATGTGAAAGGGAAAACGGCAAGCACAGGCAAGCAATGGGAAGCACTGAAAGGAAAGTCGGGATGAAATTAGTCGTACAACTCAGTCTACCAACCTACAGATACCCTCTCTACCTCATACCAATACCTGGGCCGTTAAAAGAGGCAAAGATATGGACATGACCGTGGCACGTCGCAAGCTGCAGGCCGCACAAGCAGCATATTTTTTGTATTACAGTACCACCCTCTCCCCTCCCCACCACCCACCTTTCCGTCCCGCTATCCGTGTCTACCTACCTTGGGTGCTTGGGTATGTGCCTACGTACTCTATACGGAGTCGGGAGCTATTCCAAGGTATACGGATACAGACGGCCAGTCCGATCTAGGCGCAGATTACACAAGGGCAGCGGACGGCGCACCCCAGCGCGAGAAAGTTGAATCGCGTCGCCCCGACACGCAATCGAGCGACGGCCCAGTCCTCGGCGCAGGGGACTTGGATCTTGGAGGGGAGGGGCCAGGGGCTAGCGAGTGGAGATTCAGGGCCCCGAGAGGCTGAGAAGAAGAACCCAATGGGCGACCTCGTGAGCGGGAGGGGCCATCAACCGTCTTACCCAGAGAGGCAAGATATCCACTAGAGGTACATACACAGTAGGCAAGTGGAGGTATTAGATCTTGCTCAGCTGGTAGTACTGTGTACTTCGTGGCCGCGGCCTCCCCCTTTTAACATTTCCGTCTTTTTTTTCCTTAGTGATGGCCGTTGGAGAACATCGAGTGTGCACCCTGACTTTGATCATGGTGACTTCACTAGATTGCCCGGCAGTGCCTGCAACGGGTCGAGAATTCCCAGGAAGTCAACTGCGAGTAGAGGCCCATAAGATCTTGGCTGTGTAGTTCGAAGGCCAGTTGGGATACTGCCAGCTCCGAAAAATATTGTCAAGCTCATGTTGTCAGATCCTTTCATACAAGAGCTCGTCTCCGGAAAACATGACAATGCATAACACCTCACAGCCTGGGTCAATCAAAGTCTGCTCATTCCCATTCTCATGAGCTTGCTTTGTAACGAGGTCTCCAGTTACTTGCGTGGAACTGAGACGCCGCTGAGGGGAACATTGTACCTTGCCGGATGGACTTCTGCCCCACGACGTTTGATATCATATATGAGAAGGCGAGGAACGAGTATCAATAGTAAAAAGGGGTTTCATTACGCATTCCTGAGAGTTTTGCTCTTTGGTGGGATGCCTCTCAGGACTTGCACATTGCTCAGCAATTCCGTGTTGTAACCTCACCACCCAGGTGTGTCAGTGTGGCCTTTGCCGGAAATCTGCCGAACGGGGTCCGGCGCGGGGCTTCCTCCGGACTGACCATTATTCCGTGCTCCGTCTGTCTCAGCCTCACTTGGCCTGTGCACCGAAGCTCCCCGCCACATGTCCTTGACCGCTGCCATGATGGGACACTCACACACTCCAGCTAAGCCCGCCAGTTAAGCCCTTGCTTGCGATAGAGGTGGTGCATACCTAGTCGACTTGGAGCTGGATCCAGCGGGTTGAACCACCTGTCCATTCGACTCTGCCCAAGGCTGTCTGCTGCAACTTTGCCCTCCCTTTCTCAATCGCAGCGCGGCTCGGGTATCTAGGTCAAGGTAGCCTCGCCTTGACGTATCTCCAACACCCTTCGTCATCTGGTTCATGTGGACACATTTCCATTGACCAACGTTTGCTGTCCTTGAACCCCTCGCTACCTAACGCCACGCCACCTGTTGCGTACGTCCAAAAAGCCGGCATTGGCCACGCTCGACCAAATCGCATTCCCAACATCAACCTTTCCCATCCATCGCAAAGCCACAGCTTGGATCCTAGCCCACCCAAAGACTATCGAGCGCAAACTCGTCCTTGCCCCGACCGCCTACCATGTCGGCGCCGAACGACGGCTACGGCCAATATCCCCCGCAGCAACAACCTTACTCCGACCAGCCTCAGGATGGCTACGACGCACAGGGAGCTCAAGCTGCCCAGCCAGCTGTAGCCGACCAAGGCAAGAAAAAGAAGAGAGGCTATGCCACCCAAGCTTATGAGTTCGGAGCTGGCGCCAACTCCAACACGGCCGGCGCACCTGCTCAAGGACAACAATATGGCATGCCCCAGCCCCAGGCCGCGGCTTATGGTGGCTATCCTGCACAGGATGCTCAACCTGCTGCTGCTGCCTACGGCTCTCCTCAACCTCAGCAGTACGGCATGCCCCAGCCTCCTGCTGCTCAACCCGGAGGCTACGGCGCGTATGCGGCCCCCGATGCCGGATATCCTGCGTCCGGCCTTGCCCCTGCCGCCCCCGGCGTCGGCGGCCTCAACCAGCAGATGGCCGGTATGAACCTCGGCGGCCAACAAGCCCAGCAGCAAGCTCCTCCTGGCCAGGCCGCTCGTCCCGTGGCCCTGAACCAGCTCTACCCTACCGACTTGATGAACCAACCGTTCAACGTGTCCGAGCTAGACTTGCCCCCTCCTCCCATTATTCTTCCTCCCAACGTACGTCATCACTCACGCCCGTAACCCTGGAGTTCAATTCTGACAACTAGACCTCTAGACTAGCGTAACCCCTTCCCCAGATGCGAACTGCGGTCCTAAATACGTGCGCTCCACCCTCAACGCCGTACCGACAACACACTCTCTTCTGAAGAAGTCGAGGTTACCTTTTGCGCTCGTCATCCAGCCTTATGGAGCTCTCCACGATAGTGAGGACCCGATTCCCGTGGTGCAGGACCAGGTCATCGCGCGTTGCCGACGTTGCAGAACATACATCAACCCTTTTGTTACCTTCCTGGACCATGGACACCGTTGGCGTTGCAACATGTGCAACCTGACAAACGATGTTCCTCAAGCTTTCGACTGGGATGCTGCTTCGCAAAGGAGCACCGATCGTTGGGGACGCTACGAGCTCAACTATTCCGTTGTTGAGTTTGTTGCGCCTCAGGAGTACATGGTGCGCCCGCCTCAGCCGCTGGTTTACCTGTTCCTCTTCGACGTGAGCTATGCCGCTGTCTCCACCGGCCTCCTCGCGACCAGTGCCCGAACCATCCTCGATAGCCTCGACAGAATACCTAATGCCGATCGTCGAACTCGCCTGGGTTTCATTGCCGTAGACTCCAGCCTGCACTACTTCTCAGTCCCCAAGGATGGCGAAGAGAATACGGAGACCAGCATGTTAGTCGTCAGCGACTTGGACGAGCCATTCCTGCCGGTGCCCCAAGATCTTTTGGTGCCCCTGACGGAGAGCCGCCAGAGCATTGAGAGCTTCCTGACCAAATTGCCCGAAATGTACCAGAGCAACCAGAACAATGGATCTGCAATGGGCTCGGCTCTCCGAGCTGGCCACAAGCTGATTTCGGCTCTCGGCGGAAAGATCGTAGTGCTCAGCGCTTCGCTGCCCAATGTTGGCGTCGGCAAGCTGGACATGCGTGAAGACAAGAAGTTGCTGGGTACTAGCAAGGAAAGCAGTCTGCTTCAAACTGCCAACAGCTTCTACAAGAGCTT